TGTCTGTGTCACTGTATTTTGGAAAGAGTGAGGGAACTGGTTTTTGGTACTGTACAGGATATGAGTAATGACAAAAGTGAACATTCTGGAAACTGCACAGACGTTCCAAGCTTGCATTCTGGGACACCATGTAAACCATTAGGATCAGCTACTCTTGGCAATTTTCCTTCAATCACAGCAAGACGCTGATCTTTAAAATACGAAACCAGGTCAAAACTTAGTATATGGCTGGACTGCATATGGTCAATGTGTGAGATTGAGGACATAGATGAAAACTGTTGTGGAACCGCTGTAAACAATTGAGATCATCCCATGCTCTTTTTTTAATCACACCTCTCCTGTGTGTGTGTGTGTGTGTGTGTGTGTGTGTGTGTGTGTGTGTGTGTGTGTGTGTGAGTGTGTGAGAGAGAGAGAGAGAGAGTTCCCGATCATTCTAGCCCACTTTAACCCGTCCTGGTGACTCTCTTCAATGGAAAGTTGCTAGGTTTGTCACTAGGTGCTTTTTTCATTTGTCTCTAACTCAAGTGACAAATGCGCTAAGTTGGCAACACTGCAGGCTGTAAACACTCCCCCAATAGAAACTGTTTGTGCTAATTCATTTTGAAAGAGCAGTGGCCAGTGGGGAAACTCCAACACTTGGCTGGCCGATCATTGGTTTAACTTCATGACTAAGCCATTTGGCATTCAGCTGACCAATGGTGTAACTTGATCACGCAACTCCATCACTCAATCAGTCAATCGGTCAGTCACGGACATTTGCATTAAAGGGCAGGCCCTGCTCTTGAGGTCCAATCAAAAAAGAATTTGTTGACCACATTTTGACCTGCAGTTTAGGTGTTACGGTTTGCTTAACACTTTCTTTTTCAGTAATGTCCTGTGTCAGAAGATCTGCATGAATGCCAACATGTAGATGTCCACATTACTGGACATCTACATGTATGTAACATACAGTCACCTAATTGCATATACACAGAGACACACACCCCAATCAGTCTTGTTTAATCAGGCTACATTTAGTTCTGTCAGTTGAAATACAAAGCAATGGTCTACCAGTTCTGCTCTTCTTGAGTTTGTACTGGAGCTTTTCCAAATGGCTTTTTTATTGAAACTCCCCATGTGAGGTATTATTTTACCTGGAGAATAACATATGACCTGCAAGTTTGCAGTCTCTATTCTTCTCTTGCCTCTGCTCGCTGTTGCATGTTTTCTGCATGGTATGATTATACTTTTCTTGTTCTATTTTTCTCTCTCTAAACTTTTTTTTGTCCAATTTGTATCGTCTCTATTATAGAACCAGTCTTTTCAGGCTTAAGCATTGGCAGCTAGTTTTATAATTGTTTCAGTTGCAGGTTGTTAGATCAGCAGGCGCCTTGTCAGCTCTGGCCTCATTACTGCTGATGATCGTGCTCTGGCTGACCAACCTGCTGTTACTGGTTTGTTCATATGTCTGTACAGGTGTGTATACATATGTGATTGTGTGACAGGAATGTGTTGGTATGCAAGTATTTGTGCATATTTGGAAACATAAATTTATTTGTCTGTACAGGTATGGACATTTTTGTGTGTGTGTGAGAATCCATCTGTGTGTGTGTGTGTGTGTGTGTGTGTGTGTGTGTGTGTGTGTGTGTGTGTGTGTGTGTGGCCTCTGTAAGGCAGCAATCACAGCTGTTTAGCTGGAGCCCCAGCTGTATTTCTCTATATTCAGTCGCGACCACAATCAAACCAGACCGAGAAGCTGATTAGCCTGAGAACCAATGGCCCAAATGGATATCAGCTATGATGCTGTGAAAAGGGTTTGGTACAGATATGGGGTTACTCACAGGCTGTTTAAATGGAAGGTTAGACTTAAGAAGTGATACCTTATGCTATTAATGGTATAACATGTACTCTGAACCATATTTGGAAGTTACAAATATTTTTTTGTGTGGATTCTCTGTTAAGTCTACTCACTTGTAGATTTCACTCATTCATTTTAATGACTAAAAATAATTTGCTGTCCCTGCTTTATGTCCACCTTTGAGCATGTACACCGAGGAAACAGACTAGGCAAAGAGCACCACAGCTGGTGTGGTGCTCATGACTCAGACTCATGCCCTCTGCACAACACTATACCCTGTTTTGCCTGATTTTGACAGGGACACTGGACAGAACGACAGTGCCAGCCTGTCAGCCAGTTGCCTAGCCAAGCAGTCAGCAAGTCCGCCAACTGGCCTGTCCTAGCCCCGGTCTAGTTCTTCGTCACTCAGTCACGGCACCAACAGGGGACAGGTCAGGAAATGAGGCCTAATGTTGTTGAAATACACCAGAGGAAAGCACATTTCATCCGCTGAAATTGAAACACCTAATTTTTCATAACTCTTGACTAATTTTGATTTCCTCTTAACATATTCCTGGTGGCCTCAGTGTTTTAATAAAAAAAAGTTATTGACTTAAAGGACTACTGTGAGGTCACAGGCAGCCTATTCAATGAGGCACCGAAGTTCAAGCCAAGGACCTGATTTCTTAAATTATGAGTCAGGATCCAAAATGGATTGTGGGCCCAATTCTGGTGGGTCTCCACTTTATAAGAGTAGAAGTATGCTTTAATGAGTTTTGCTCCCCAGGCTACAGACTCCATTTCTAATATGGAATCTGCACTGTAGCAGTAAATTGCATTTTGTTAGTTGCATGCATATGTTTTTGAAGTTCTAAGAAATATGTTATAGTGTCATTTGTTACTGCTGTTCTGGATGCTACAGGTAGTAGTACTGCTATTGTTACCTCTTGGACACTTATTTCCTTCAAAGGCTGTTGGTAGCGGTGAAAGAGCTGCCTGCCAGAAAGATGTTTACCATGTTGCAGCAAGAAACACTGACTGTGCCATATACTTAATGAAATCCGATGAGTGTCTGGCTGTCCTCACATCCAGCATTCCCAAAACACCCTAATGAGAGTTTCTGTTTCTCATTTAGCTCCAGGATTCAAGTTGCTGTTCTCAAAAAATTTGGGCATAATATAATAAAAACAGGTGCATAATTAAAGTTTTAGACAACCACATGCACGTGACAGCTCCCCTGAAACGCTATAAACACTCGAATAAGCCAACAAACTTTCATCCCTTGCCAGTCCTCCCATTGAAGTGGCTTTGCAGGCACATTTGCTCTGCATGTGGGGACATTGTTGTTGCTGGGTCCCCTTCACTTTCTTTTGTTCAGCATTGATATCTAGCTATGTGTACACACACATATGGGTGTGCAGGCATTTGAACACACAAAAACACACAAAAACACACATGAAAAACAGTTTGATTGATGTCTTGCTGTATAGCATGCAACAGTAGTAATTTTAATAGGCGAGAAGCATGACATTGCATGGTTCACCATGGTGCCAAATCCACCACATGTTGCCAGGGAATTCAAAATGTGTGCTATCAAGGTAAACTCATTGACCCTGTCAGGTTTGGAGTTTTTTCTCTCTCTCACTGCCTTTGTTTTTCCTGTACTCTCACATCTCTCTTTATCAAACTCTCTCTCGCCTTCTGTCTCATACAAGTCCCCCCAGAGAACGCAGGCGGTTAAGAACTCTGGACCTGCCTGTGAGCAGCTAACAGCTCATGTCACCCTACTGAACCACCCAGGAGCAGAAGAAAGGGAAAGATAAAGAGACACGCAGGGAAGAGGGAAGCAGAGGAGTTAAACGATTGCAGAGCTGCTGAGCAGAGGGAAAGACCCCGTGACATATCCCACACTCTGAACTGGGACCAGACCAAAATGCATGTGTGATTAAATGAACTGTGATGCTCGTTCCTGACACGCTGCAGCCATCCCAGGAATTAGTCACGGTTCTATTTTCATCTAAAGTACCACTCACAGGGCAGTCCCTCTTTGCTTCCATTACAGTATGTCATGAAGTGAGTATATGCCTCCCCCTCCAAAAAAAAGTACTGTCAATCTCTCAGCAGAGCAGAGGGGAATACAGAAGTGGAACACAGAGGTGGAACCAAACAGACTTGTTTTGCAGTGTTTAGTTCAGGCTCCCTGGGTGTTTTTCCTGGGGACACAGAGGGAGAGAGAGATTTTAAGAATAGAGATCAGTAGTCATGGCGATGACAAGTGCTCCATCACACTCAACACTGTGTATAATGCCATGCCTTCGCTGGTGTCTTTGTATGTGTGTTGGGGAATCCCTCCTACTGCTGTTGCTGATGTCATGGATGGGATCTTAAGAACTGAGGATCCAAGACTTCACAGACTGGATAGAAAAAGAGCTCCGAGACCTGATTCAGGGATTTGAAAGGCAGTGAATGTGTGTCAAGATGTTTGTCTGTGTGGTATCAGAGATGTGAGAGAGGTGTGTTTGAATATGTTTCGAAAGAAAGGAGGAATTAAAGAGCAAATGAAAAAAAGTGTGTGTGTCAAATGATAGATGAGAGCATGGTCCACTGAGGTTTTGATGGACAGGGGCCTGGAGGACTCACATCTGACTGTGCTGTTACCTCATCCCCCTGAACGCTCAACTCATCAGCTTGTCATACACACACACTCACACAAACTCTCCCTCCACACTCTTGGAGACAGATGAAATGTCAAATGCGTAGAGATTCTTTTCAGGGTCAGGTTTCTGGGCTGTACATATCTTCACATAAATCATCATCACAGTTTGGACGGAGGCGAGAGAAGGGTCGGTGGCAAAGAGGCAGACTACGCCTATCTGCCAAGTAACTAAGGAAAGCTTGGCTTGCACTTGGTACTTCTTCAATTTGCTGTTGGAATGTAGTTCTACCTATTTGGCCATTCGTGCTATCGATGAGCTGTTTTATATTGCGACGTGATATTGATGGATTCGTGGAAGTTGTGAACCATTTGTTTCCACCGGTGTCTGTTTCATTCACTGTATGTTAGCACTTACGTGCAACTCTCCATTCTTTCATTTATTATTGTCACTCTATCCTCACTCTGTGTCTTTATGCACTACCCTTTATCTAACCACTTCTTTCTTCATCTCTTGTCCCTTTCTTGCAGGAGTAAAAGATCTTTGGTCCCCACCACAGAGTGCATTTTTGAGCTTCCCCATTTCACTGTACAAGCCACAAGGGCCCAGACGCTTTTGCTTCAAGCAATCTGTCAGAGTTGGACCCACAGCATGACCAATGGAGCCCCACTGACACTCAGCGAAAGCCTGCTCAATGAGGTGTACAAAGCTCCAGGTAAATAACTTATACATATACATAAACCATGTGAAGTTAACTGAGCTTGTCTGTTCTTTGACAGCAGGTCCCCTGTGGACAGAAATCCATTTTCATGAATTTCATTTACCTGACCAAGTTGATAATCCCCACATCCCCACATCTTCACAGCATTCAAGTACACCTGTACTTAGACCTGTCCATTTGTGATTGGAACACCTGAGATGGATGTAATGCCAGGTCTGCACAGGGCCATAGAGGAGCAGAGGCTGTTTTTCCAGGGCATGTGTTTGTAATTGCTTAGCATTGCAACAGGCCCTTGGTGTTTTTTCAGTTGTTTTCATAATGCAGTTGTTATTGGAGGGTAGCAATTATAATTCTTCAATGGCAACTCAGCCACTTGGCAAAATACAAAAATACCCACACAGATGATTAATGTGTCCTTTAACGGCTCATTCTGTATTTCAACCATGACTAGTCAAAGAACAAAGAACCAACTACATCACTTTGCTCATCTGGTCTCTTTTAAGCTATTGCATTAGATGTTAATGCGTTCATCATAGTAGCTGATTTATTGAAATCTAGTAAAGTATACTTGTGCTCTTTATTTATTTTGTTGTATATGAACTAAAGCTTGTTTCTTAGTACCAGTAAAATGTCAAGAGAGATATATGGAACTGGCTAGAGCCAAAATGATTTGACCCTCTTGTGAAAAGCTTTATAGTTATTTCTCAGGGCTCAGCACATTGTGTACCAGACTATTATTTACCCAAAACAAGTCAACCTGATAGTAGCCATTGAGTTATGGGCAAATTGGCAGCCCAATTTGCCCATAACTCACTGACCTTATACCAGGGGTGCAAGCACACATCCAAAACTTAAGGTCTCAAAATATACACGTTCACGTGAGATATTTTGGCATAAAGATCAACTTGTCTTGTGCCCGGTGTGGGGTACTATTCCAGCAGCCTAGGGCAAATTAACTCTGAAACGGTTTTACGCTTCATGTCGCCTAGGATGCCTTAATGGTCAAATAATAAATTTTGCCTCTTGTTAAAGAAAAGGAGGGGAGCCTGAATTCAATAAAACAGTAGCGTTTCTCATGACGGTAGCATCTGGACAGTCCTCTGGAGGGCCAGGGATTTTCCAACTCATTAGGATCACGTTGTTTGGTATGCCGTCAACATTCTCCCTCGGCCAAGCCAGCCAAGCTACCTTTTTCACCGTTGTGTAGCCGCCAAAATTTATGAAACTGGTCTCCCGTGGAGTGAAGTCAAATATTCCTCTCCCCTCACTCTGCCTTTCTCTTGGAATGGGGCTTGACTAGCAACATAGAGAAACATTTGCACATCTGGTTCATGTGCTGGCAGGTTAGAAAAAGAGCAGTGGGGGAAAGAGTTCGAGTTTAGAAGGCAAGAGAGTGAAGGGGAATAGGTGATGTGTTGTGTAAGTATATGTTGGGAAAAACACAGCAATAATTCCTATGATATAACCAAAGATGTGTGGTGGTGTATCTGCTTTTGAAATTGTGACACTCATAGGCTTTGAGGAAGATCTTAGCTGTCCCAGTTCCTCTCAGTCCTTGGTGTGACAGCTTAATTGTGGAGGAGAAATGGAAAAAGAGGAGATGCAAGAAAAGAAAGCGGGTAAAGTTGGCAGAGTTGCACATTGTGAACTATTGTGGACTATGTTTGCTGTAGAGCATCTGCCTCACACCCAGTGCAACCTAGCTTAATAGTTTTGGTTCCTGTGGGTCTGTGGTTGTGTCCACACTGTAACGTCATAGTGGGACATTACTGGCTGTTCTCTGCTGACTACCTGCCCTCCTACTCACTACTCTGTCCTGCTTTATTCTGAGTTGTTTCCTTATCTAAGCCAAACCTGGTGTGATTTCTAGAAAGACCTCATTATCATAACTCCTGATGAAAAGCTTGTCTAATGTCAAATATGAAGACTGTGCCACTTATTTGGCCCTCCATGTGATAAAAGTGTTTGCAGTCTTTGCAGTGGCTACATTTGTCCAGTGTGACTTGCAGGCTGACTGGCTGCAACTGTTTGCAGTAGAAGTGGTAGATCTTTTATAACGCTCACAAGATTCAGATCTGCATCCAGATTTAAGTTCTGTGCTCGTTCTTGTGTTGCTAGCCAGCAGGCATCAAGCCATTGCCAGGACAGAGCTGACATGCGCTCACACACACTGAACATGGCAAACAAAAGCTGTTTGCTTTGAACATGTGCTTTTTTCATTCCTTTAGGAATTCCTCTTCCATTCTCTCCTTTTGATGTTACAGGGCTTTTCAATAGTGGAAGGTGTTTCATATTGAGGTCTAGCTGATAACACAGATGGTAAGTGTCCTTCGCGGGGTAGCCATTTGGGTATGAGATTTTATTCCCCGTCCAAAGGAAATTCCATAATTCAGCAAAGGGGAAAACTAAGAAAACAAAAACTTCAGTTTTAATCTCAGAGTACTGACAGACTGTAAAATGTTCTTCAAAATAATTGGTGGACTCAGATTAAAGCAACAGTCAGAGACCTTAAATCATCGCAGCTGACTGGAACACAGCCGCTAGGATTTGTAAAACTTCAAGTTTGTGCTGCTCACTGGCAGCTGCAGCAGTAACCCAGCAAGCGGCATATGCAATATAGCCTGTGTTTGGTCGGCAAGCCCAGAAACGAATGAGTGAAATCCGAAAACAAACCGTAAAATTGTATTTTCCTTGAGAATCAGATGTTGTCAGTCACTGCCTATTGCATGACAGCGTGGTTTGTCAAACTACGGTGTGTAGGAGGACGTCAGTAAGTCGTCACAGTATTCCACCGTTCTCCTTTTACATTCCAGTGAAGCTCACACTAGTGTTGTATTTTATTGGTGAGCTCTGCAGAAAACAGTATGTCATATTTTATGTGTCTGGTTGTCTGGTAAAAATGGAGAGGTGGTCCATAGGGAGATGTGTGTTTGTGCACACATTAGTGCGCTCACTCTTACAGTATGTGCCCCCTAACAGTAAGCTTGTCAGCTGCCAAGTGGAGGTAACAACAACTCTATGCCTTTTCTGCAGCTCTGACCTGCTGCATTCCCTCCTTAATTATTCCCATTTTTTGACTTGACAAAATCTACTCTTCCGTTCTTGCTGTTTGGATTTTACTGTTGTCTTTTTCTTCCATCTTTTCTGTGCAATTCTATGCTGCCAACTTTATTTCTCTCCCGCTCTCTTCTTTTTTCTTTCCATCTCTCACTCTTCTCTCATGTTGAATTCATTGTCTCATATTATATGTTCCTCTAGTCCTGTTTTTTTTCTTTCTCTTCTCCTATGATTGTCAATGGCCTGCCCATTTTATATTTTCTTTGTTTATACTTCCAGTCATAGCCATAGTAGTAGCAGTAGCATCAATATTAGTGCAGAGGAGCCAGTGATTCCTGCCACCCACCACAGTGATCTCCAATTGAGTCTGCATACATTTGTGAGTGCACAGTATGTTGTGCATAAGATTTGGATGAGTGTGTGTCTAATTGTGGTACAGGGAAAGTGTAATCGCAGTGCACAAATTATTTTTTGTCATTGCTCACTCTTCAGTGCATTTTATCAACAAATATTTAGATCGTCAGTGGCTGTACCTTTCTGCGTTGCCTTTGTTTGGTTTCTGTTACACATTACATTACCCCAGAGACTTGCAGAAAACGTACCACATCTCTGAAACACGCCAAACTACGTCTTTGATAATGATGTAGGCAAATGAGAGCAGCTGTTAAGCAAACAATATGTACAAAACAATTCAAAAGAAATGTGGAGGTTTTCATATTATTGCTGAACGAGTGTTTGGCCATAGTCATAGCTGTAAATCGATGTTTCATATTTTAATAGTTAGTTACCACCTGCAGTTTTATCTCACTCAGTGTTAAAATAAAGCTTAACAACCTAATTTAAAAATCATCATGGATCCTAGTGACTTATCTCGTAAGCACATTGCCATGAGGACACAGAATCTGTATGTTTTTTTTATTTTATTTGTCGTGTATGTCTCTGCTGATGATAGCTTTATTGGATTTTGATTCATGCACTTGCGTCCCCAGAGGACATAAGTCTTTCAATTTCAACAGATGCGTTTATAGCTGAGTACACAGTGATGATTCACAGAGTGCATCTAAACCTGCAGATGGTACAACTCTGGCTTGGGGACCAGTGATCCCTTGTCCATGTATTGTGAATATGTGGTTGTTTATTGGCTACTTATGTGTGTTTGTGTGTGTGCATGTGCCTTTTACTGTTTGTTTGCATGCCTGTGTGTGTGCTTTCTATGTTCCCGCTTTTTGTCTCGCTGATGAAACACAAAATTAGAAGTGCCGTTTGCATCCTTGCATTCATGACAACAGTAAACCTCCAGATGTCCACCAAAAGGACTACGCAGTAAACTGAAATGATATTGAGGAAAATCAGTTTTAACTTATTTGTCATAACAGTGTCACATTGGCCTCCCTAAATGAACCATTATGAGACCAGTACAGGATCTCCAACCAACCCAAAGGAAGTTGAGCAGAAACTAAGGCTGCTCACTTTCTATAATCTTCCCTGCAGACCATTTGCCTCCCTTTTTAAGTGTCTTGTGAAAGGCTGCATTTTGAAAGACAAAAGGTCATTTAAATCAGTATAAAATTGGCATTTCCAATTCAGCTTTAATGCAGCTACCACAGCTCGTTTCCTGGCCACAGAGCTCTGTGGTGGTCTGGACTATGATGGGGGGGGGGGTAGAAGTTGGTTGGTGGTGGTCACCAGACGTGCTCTAGATGATTGCTGGGTGATATACGAGCTGTGACATAACTTAAGCATGACAGATATTGGGGGGGGGGGTAAGAACAGAGTAAGAGGAAGAGAGGGTAAATGATATAATGAGAAGAATGAAAAATGAAAGAAAAAAGGAAAATAAAGGGCGAAGGGAAAAGTGATGGAAAGAAGGAAATAAAGAGATCTCAGTGCCCAGAAACACAACTAACTATTGGTTCTCCTTATTAAACCCAGCTTTT